AAGAGTAAGGGAGAGATTAAAAGCCCACATTCAAATTCCCTTCAAATCCCCCAATCAAAAAGCACCTTGGCAGCAGCACAGGCACAGTGCACCACCCGTGGGGACAGCACCATGGGCTCCGTGATGGCAGCTGCTGCTGGGTAATGCCTGTAGTCCTGGTCCTGCCTGGGCCTGGCTTTGGGCAGTGGTTTACATCCACTGCCAGGCACACCTCACCTCCTCTGTGGGGGTAAGACTGAGCACAGCTTGACTCAGGTGACTTGTCCCGGCTTAATCCACTTAGAAAGTTCTCCTCTGCCTTCCCCCTGGCTGCTTGTAATGTTTTGGAAACAGCCAAGGCATCATCAAAGAGCCCAGTGCAAGCCATGAAAAGGCTGCCAGTGATTTCCCTCAGCCTCGAACAGTGCCTCTCACAGCTTTGTTAACCCTTCCCAGGGTCCCCATAAGTTCTTCAGTAGTCCAAGACTCTGGTTTTCAAAGTTACTGGGGGTATGAAGGCACTAAAAAACTCTCATGGGTACTCCCCCTTGGAAAATCCACCCTGAGACCATGTCTTGATAAACGTTGCTTCACGGCTTTCTCAAGCAGTTGTGGATTGTGTCAGGAGACATCTCCTCCTCTGCTTCCCTACTCCCTGCCATCCTGTCACCTTTTCCAGTGCACCCTGCAAGGCAGGGACACACACACACCCCGTTCGGAGAGGAGAGCACCTGCACGCAGTCTTGCATCAGCCAGGCTGAGGGTGTGAGGTCCGTCCGTCCATCCATCCATCCATCCATCCATCCATCCATCCATCCATCCATCCGTCCATCCGTCCGTCCATCCATCCATCCATCCATCCATCCATCCATCCTTCCATCCACCCACCCATCCGTCCATCCATCCATCCATCCATCCATCCGTCCATCCATCCATCCATCCATCATCACTGCAGTCTGCCAGGGAGGCACCATGCCTGGCTGGAGGTCGGCTCAGCTCAGCGAGTCCCTGAACACGGTCAGGTTGTGCTCCTGGATGTGCTGCAGCAGGACTTGTGCCCGCCTGTCAATGGTCCGAAGAAGGGGCCTCAGGCCCTCAGCACCACCCTGGCTCTCCCACAGCTCCTGATCCAGGCGCAGGGACTCCAGCAGAAGGCTCTGCAACCTGCCTGACCGCAGCGTGGCCACTGCTGCCTCCGGGAAGCTGCAGCAGGGTAGCGGGAGAGAGAAGGGAAGGGGTTACCCGGGGGCAGCAAGGCATCCCCGCAGAAGCCACCCTGATGTTTCCAGAAGAAATGTGTGACCACCCAGAGGAACAAAGGATGAGGAGCCTCCTGCTTATATCTCTGCCCATGGCGAGTGTGTGGGACGGCTCCACCAGAAATGGATCCAAATGAGCTCCAAACCCAGGGGCTGATAGGATGCCAAATGCCTAATGGGCAATGAGGCGAGAAATGCTGAAATACCTAATTATTTGTTATTTTTGTGCGGCTGCCAATTATAGAAGGGAAAGTAGGCTTGGGAGACTGTCGTCAGCCACCCAGAGCAGGATGAAGAGCCAGTTTCAGGGCAGGGGAACCTGTGATGGGTTCGTAAGCCCACCCACCCATTCATCCTGGGTTGGGAGTGACCCCACTTCCCAGGGGTGCTTGGTGGGGAGGCCAGGAGTGGCAGAAAGGCATGCACATAGGCATGTCCATCACATGTCCATGCACATGTCCATCACTTGTGTGCAGGCTCAGCCTTCACCCTGGACATGCCCGAAGGATGGTGCACATCACCCTTCCTACCTGTCTATGCCTTGCAGGAGCCTGAAGTTGAGCTTCCCCTCAGGGTGTTGTGGCCTGCCTGCGTTGTCGATGAAGACCAGGTGGGACGGCATGCTCTTCCTCACCTGGCAGCAGGATGGGAAGGAGAAGCCCACTCACTGTGGGGAGTCACCCATTTGGGTGTTTAGGCTAGTTTTTTAATGCATCGAATAATCCTGAGAGCTTCTGGGAGCCCGTAGCTGCCAAAGCCCAGGTCCCTCAAGGATGCACCTCCCACCACAACACCATAGGACCTACACCCCCCCCTTGCTGCAACGTCACCTGCAAAGTGATTAACCTTCATCTGAACCCAGAGCAGCCCCTGGGGAGTGTGGGGACGTACCAGGATGTGGACCAAGACCAGCTCCGCTGGGTTTCGGCACTTCTCGTGGAGCATCTCCTCCACGCAGGGCTCAGAGGGATCAGGCTGAAACCCACAGCAGTAGCGGTCCAGGCGGTCATGAACCTGCAGGAGACATGTGGGGACCTTAGCAGGAACAGGCACCTGGGGCAAGGTGTTCCAGTTGTGAACTTTTCTCTCTCAGAGGAAAATACAAAGTTTCTAAGGATCCTCAATAGACATGAAATGGAAAAGCTGCACACAACAGTGAGTGAGAGACCAGCAGGGAAGCATTCAGAAGCTGAGCTGACTTGCAAAGCCTCCCTGGCTTGGGGAAGAGACCAAGAAAGGTGACGGTGACAGGCTTTCCTGAGCAAATGGGTCATGCTTCCAGCTGAAGTCCCAAGAAAGGTGACGGTGACAGGCTTTCCTGATGGAGCTCAGCTCTGGTACTTCCACGCTCTGTATTTGCATGGAGCAAATGGGTCATGCTTCCAGCTGAAGGGAAGACATACACAGTGATGAATGTAGAAAAACCCAAGAAAACATGGGCCCTGAAACCTCAAAAAGAGATTTTTTTTCATTAGGCTGAGTCTTGGTGCACTGGACAACAGTTTCATCTGGCTTCTGGCTCATATAAACCTTTTCATCTATCCCTACTGGCAACCTGAGCAGCTGTCAGTGGAAAGAAGATGAATGGAAAAGGATCTGTAAGGGGAAAAAATGATCTGTGTGTTATCCAGAGCATGCCTGACATTTAAGTTAGGCCATGGTGACTTGTTTTAACTACATTTGTGTTTAATTATTTGCAAGCACTGCTCAGGCTTCACATTGTTGTGGCTGCCAAGTCCCACCCTCCTTCCCACCACAAAACCCTGCAGACACCCTGAAGCTGCTTAGCAGCCTCCAGTGTTTCACCCGCACACTTAGAGAGATAAGGGACTTTTAAAATAATTTCTGTCAGACCCAGCTTCAATAACTCTCCTTGGTATTCACAAATCTTCCTCATCTTCATCAGAAGGAGCCAGTGCATCCTTTGAGATGGTCTGTGGGGCAGACTGGACCTTGCTGGCTGTCAACAACCCTCCCCATGGCTGCATGCTCTCATGGCTGGGCAGGGGGGCTGCCTCACTGCCTGCAGCACTGGAGGTCTGTTTGAAACATTACAGGAAAAAAACATCTCATCTATATAAAATATATATATATATTTAAAATATCTCCTTTAAATATATATAAATATATATAAAATAAATCCATTTTCCAGTTGGAGTGCAAAGGCATCTGACTCATTGGTTTGCTCAGGGTTGCTGGTGCTGACCTGGGAGCCAGGGCTCAGGGTGCAGAACAGCTCCTGGAGCTGCCAGGAGGGTCTTGAGTGAGCCCAGGAAGACATACAGATGCTGCCTGGATGGAAATCAAGTGGCTCATTGCTTATTCCTTCACCCTGATAATTATCAAGACTTGACAGAGAGCTCAATCTGAACCCAAACATTAATCAAGCACTGGAGAAGATGCTGCAGGAAACACAAGGTTTGATTTCCATAGCCATTATATTCATAATTCTTCAAGAAGAAAGATTAGTCCCACACCAGAGACCCTCACAGAATCCCTCTGTTTCCTGAGGTTTAAAGAAGCCCTTGGCTCAGCATTTCTCCATTGGGAGATACACCAGTTAAGAGCTTGAGTGTCTTTTGACACAAAACACATTAAAATGAAAGAAAACATCACATTTCCTCCACACATCTCCTTGGTCTACCTACTCAAAAGCTCAGCATACCAGTTCCCCTCTCTTCTGCTGCATTGTTTTCTAGGCTGCACAGAAGGTGAAGATAACCTGCGATGACTCACAGAGCCATTAAATGTGCTCAGGCCTCCATTCACCTGCCCATGAGCACCTCTGAAACCAAGGTGGGTCAGTGCTGGATCCACAGAAGTGCAAGATGGGGGCTGGACCTGGTGTCTAAGTGGAGCCATGGAAGATGGACCAGCTGATGGTTGTAGAGACACTGAGAGCACCACTGATGTGTTGAAGAGCCCTCCCTCCCCCTGGCCCCACCCTGGTTGTTCATATTAATCTCTCCTCCCCACAGCCTAAGTGACTCTAATGAACAGGACATTAGATTTCACTGCTGGAACATAAATACATAAGCCACACTGTCTCCCATCCAAGCTCAAACCCTGTGAGAAGCTCCCCTTCAGCACCTCTTTTATCCCATGGGAAGCCTGGCCATGTCAGAGCACCCCCTTGGGTCCAACCAGCCATTACTCATTTCCAGCCTGGGATGACTTTCCCTAGGGAAACTTCCTTGCCCTTCTCCCAGCTGGGAAGGGGGTGCCACAGGATAGGGATGCAGCTGCAGGGCTTCAGAGTTTATGTATTTTTGGACCTTTTTAAAGCACAGAATAAAGCCATCAACAGCTGCCCCTTTCCACCAGCACTTTGCTCCAGGGAGGTGTGTTCCCTTATGGCAAACACCAAGAGAAACCAATATATAAACAACCAAATTACTGAAAACAAAAACCAAGGTTTCAATGCCAGGGTACAGCAGGGGTCACATCTGCAGCTCCTCCTTCCACAGCAAGTGTTGTGAGGACCTAAGGCAATTTCTGAAGGATGCTATTTCCCTCCTACAACATCCTGCTGACTTGGTGCCTCTTTACCTTTATGTGACTTTTCTGCATGGGAGGATCCCATTGCATTTATTGAAGAAAACCTGTGAATTGCCCTTGGATTTATCATTGCAGTGCTTTGGCCCTCCAAGGGAAAGTCTCTGTAAAACTACATTCTTTCTCCTGGAGACTCAGCCTTTCCATTGCACTCAATGGCATTTTGCCTGGGGAAGGGAAGGGGCTGGTTAATTTTATCATTTCTCTGGCTGTTTCAGCTAAAATATTCCTGAGCACAGCCAGGACTGCTCCACCTCTGCCAGCCACAGTCTGAGGTTATAAAGATCAGTGGTCAGGCTTTGCCAAAAAAAAAAAAAAAAAAAAAAAAAAAAAAAAAAAAAGAA